GCGCGCGCGCGCGCTCTCTCTATATATATATATATATATATATATATATATATATATATATATATATATATATATATATATTAGCACTGTCAAAATTAACGCGTTAACGCATGCGATTAATTTTAAATAATTAACACGTTAAAAAAAATTAACGCAATTAACGCAGTTCGGTTTTTTTTACTTCCTGTTGTGGTGGACGTGTGTTCAGCATGCAATAAATGTGTATAAGAACAAGGAAGCACTTTTTGAAGGCAAGTTCCAGTATAAAACAATTAGTTGCGTCACAGGTTATCCAGAGTTTCATGCAATTTCGGGTGTTTCATTTTTAACTTTCGACATCTGTTGTAAGTTGATACCGCATGGCGAACAGAAAGAAAATCCTCCGCATTTCGTGACTCGGTGTTCCTTTAAGGTAAGGTTCCTTTTAAGGCTACACGGTAGACTTTTAATAAGAGTATAATCTTAATCATATTAAAAACGGAGTATTGTTGTCTTACGTGAATGTACTCAGAAAGTCTCTGGTGAAGACGCGAGCTGTCAAAGACAGGGCATTACTCTGCCTTTCAGCATGCGCCCTCCAAGTTTAGCGTGTTACCTCATTAAACGCAACGAAAGCGTATGCTTTGCGTTGTTGTGTCAGAATCCTTGTGAAATACAGTAATACTTTAGGACGCTTAGTTTAAGCAAATTGGATGAACGTGATCATGCGTGTTGAATCTGAGGGGAGTCACTCCGGTATGGAAGGCCGTTGGGGCCAAAACGTCTGCAGCGCGTTGTGTGTGTGTGTGTGTCTGTGTGTGTGTCTGTGTCAGGCCTGTTGAGGGGTGTCAGGGGTGGAGTGAGGGACGTATCTGAGTAGGGGCGAGAGAGGTGTGCAATGTATTTAACGACCGGTTTGCAAGAAATTATCATTCATTTTCGGGCATTTGGGAGTTTCTGTGCACTTGCGGGATACTCCTAGCAACTGGATGAATGTAAAGGAGGATTAAGCAAAATTGTTTCTACTCTATAATTAATGTTCTCATCTCACAGCAATAAAACTTTTCAATGAGTGCAACAATTTGTATTCTATAGTTTATTATTATAATTTTTCATTTTTCATATCTGCAATTTCTGTATTTTGGCATTTTTTTGCAGTCCACTTAGAATCCAACATGAAAATCAATGTTTTCTTTATTGGCATTGATTGTTTGGAAATTTAAATGTCATTAACATGCCTGTGTTTTAATTTCTGTAATAAATATGGCTGTCAAGCCAGGATATTGATGGTTTATTGTGGGTATGTTGTTTACATGAAGAAATCTGTGTTATAAGTTAAACAAAAATTCTATTAAACAATAATATTTTGAATTTAAATAGTTTTGTCTTGCGTTTACATAAATTTTACATTTAAATAGCCAAAATTACAAGTTTCAGTATTTTAAATGTGATTAATCGCGATAAATTTTTTAAAAAAGGTGCGATTAATTAGTTATATACATATACAAGGCAAGGCAAGTTTATTTATATAGCACATTTCATACACAGAGGCAGTTTAAAGTGCTTTACATAAACAAGAATAAAAGAAATAAGTATAAGAAAAAAAAACAAATAATAAAAATGATTAAAAAACAGATAAATTGTGATATAAAAGAATGAAAAAGAAGAGAAAACATAATATTGCAATCTGTCGGACGTAGCACAGTGCTCATTCAGTAAGGGCACAGCTAAACAGATGTGTTTTCAGGCTTGATTTGAACATGCCTAATGTTGGAGCACATCTGATCATTTCTGAAAGCTGATTTCAGCAGCAAGGGGCGTAGTGGCTGAAAGCTGATTCACCCTGCTTTGACTAAACTCTTGGAATTTCTAGTTTATATGATCCTAAAGATCTGATTGATCTGTTAGATTTGTATTCAGTGAGCATATCTGTTATGTATTTAGGACCTTGGCCATTTATTGATTAATAGACCAGTAATAATACTTTAAAGTTTATTCTGAATGTAACTGGCAGCCAGTGTAAAGATCTGAGGACAGGTGTAATGTGCTCTGATTTTTCAGACAGTTGAAGTACGAATTATTAGCCTCTCTTAATTATCAACCCCCCCTCCCTCCCAATTTGTTTATTTTTTGCCAATTTCTGTTTAACAGAGAGAAGATTTCTTCAACACATTTCTAAACATAATAGTTTTAATAACTCATATCTCATAACTGATTTATTTTATCTTTGTTATGATGACAGTAAATAATATTTGACTAGATTTTTTTAAGACACTTCTATTCAGCTTAAAGTTACATTTAAAGGCTTAACTAGGTTAATTAGGTTAACTAGGCAGGTTAGGGTAATTAGGCAAGTTATTGTATAATAAAAAATATATATAGCTGAAAGGGGCTAATGATTTTGTCCCAAAAATGTTTTGTACAAAATTAAAAACTGCTTTTATTCTAACCAAAATAAAACAAAAAAGTCTTTCTTCAGAAGAAAAAAAATATTATCAGACATGCTGTGAAAAGCTTTTTTGGTCTGTTTAACATAATTTGGGAAAAATGTAAAAAATTTTAAAGGGGGCTAATGATTCTAACTTCAGCTGTATGTATATATATATATATATATATATATATATATATATATATATATATATATATATATATATATATATATATATATATATATATATATATATATATATAAATAAATATATATTTATATATATATATATATATAAATAATAGAGAGAGAGAGAGAGAGAGAGAGAGAGTGTGTGTGTATATATATATATATTTTTTTATTTTTTTTTTTTTTTTTTTTTTTATAATTTAAATTTTTATTTATAAATTTATATATATATATATATATATATATATATATATATATATATATATATATATATATATATATATAT